CAGCTGCGTCTTGGAACATTGCCCAGCACAGTCCTGGGGTTTTGTGGCAGCGTCTCTGGAACCATGTTGGAGGACAGACGTGGTGAGGAAGGAAGGGCATTTGCGAGGAGAGGAGGCGGTAGGGAGGCTCTATTTGTGTTTCACAGATTGGTATTGGTTAGGAAAGAAATTGGGGGAGGGCCCCATGGCCAGTAACAGGTTGCAAATGATTACAGTAATCAGAATGTTTCTGAAAGTAAAAACAGGCTCCGATAGAGCTGAGAGACTCAGAAACAGGGAAAGATGTTCCACGAGTAAGGTGGGCAGTAGCATTTCTTTAAGAAAAATTGGGGGGTTATTAAAAAGGCAAATCTGGCGTAAGCTCTAAAAGACAGCTCACTGGTTTTCTTCCGACTCTTTTCTCTCCTTCACTCCTTATCTCAGGACCTTTTCTCTTCTCATTAACACCTCCACCAGAGTTGGAGCTCGGGAAGAGAAAGGAAGTGTTCAGACATGTGCCTATTTGCATACTCACTCTCTTGAGTCAATGCCAGGACAGCACATTCTGTCCAGTTCTATAGAAAAGCCAGTTTCACCCCATCAGTAAGGTATTATTTTCTTTTTTAGCATAGAACGGTTTATTGCCAAGCTTCTCTTAACTGTACATTACAAATAGTGTCTGATTAAGAATGTTCTGGATGGGTTAATTAGTGTGGTGACTATTATTAAGCAAACTGCTTGTTAGTATTATGCCTATTTGATCTTGGTATTGATGTGAAGTAATTGACCATAGAGCTACATTTAGAAAAGCTGGAATAAAGTTTTTTGATTTCTATTATAGCAATAAATTGTTTACATTAAACATGTCTATGAAAATATGAGTTTCATGGCACAGAGAATCAGAATAGACTCTGTGTGGGATGGTAGATGAGGATTGTTTTGTTTTGTTTTGTTTTGTTTTGTTTTAGAAATATTAATACATTTGTCCAGCTTGCTTCACAACCAGTTCTGCTAGAACAAAGTAGTAAAAAATTATTTCAGCTGACTACTGCCGAGTGTATGAATAATAAAGTGATTTTAACTCAACCTCACCTAAAGGACATATTTCCTTTTATTTATTTTTTTTTTGAGATTTTATTTATTCATGAGAGACACACAGAGAGAGAGAGAGGCAGAGACACAGGCAGAGGGAGAAGCCGGCTCCATGCAGGGAGCCTGACGTGGGACTCGATCCTGGGTCTCCAGGATTAAGGCCCCGGGCTGAAGGTGGAGCTAAACCGCTGAGCCACCCGGGCTGCCCCATATTTCCTTTTTGATTTAGCTAACTGGCTAAACACTTAATCTGGGTAACAATTCACTATATATAAACAGACTGTTAAGGAAAATATATGGGAAGATATTCTAAGCAAGGAAAGCATAGCATGTAACCACCTTCTTTGAAGTCCCGGATTATTATCTATATTATTTATTGGTATTTTGTCCAGTCCTATTATTAAGTTTCCCTCACTACACTATAGCATTTCCATAGGGAATTTATTCCATGAGCTAATAAATTATACCGTCAGGGAGTTTTTCTTGAAATTCAGCTTAAATTTTCCCTTTCTTAATTTCATCTCATTACTTCTAGTTATAACCCCCTTATACCCGGCTAAATAATTATTCTCTTCCCTTGGAGACTCCTATTATGTACCCCTCTACTTGTCACTTAACCAGGCTATTCATATTTAGCTCCTTTAATCTGTCCTCATAAATCAGTTCTTCCATTGCCTTAATCATTATTATTGCTCTTCTAAGAACTCTCTAATTTTCGAACATATACAGTCACAGGTGCCCCAGATGAAACCAGCATCTGCACAGCCCTCTGTCCCTGCAGACTTGGTGTCTTCCTTCTCCGTACAACACGATCCATAACGAAGTGGCATCCATTGGCTGGTCAGATCAGCACAGTCTCCTCTTGCCAAACTCCAGACAATCTCAACAGTGTTTTCCATGTGTCCTACTTACATTCAGGATTTTTTTCTTTTTCAATTTCAATTAGTAAGCTGAGTTTTTGCTTACTGCCCATATTTATGTTCGTCTCTTTCCATGTCCCCACTGACCACACCTATCAAGTCAGCCATCCACAGCCTGTGTTAACAGGGGATCCTGCTCCTCCAACAGGCCTAGCACCTTGCCCACAGAGACATTCCCTGTCAGTCACCGATTCCTGTTGTTTGCAACCCTGTAGCCAGTCTCCCATCCCTTTTAATTTGCAATTTTGCTCACATGCTGGCCAGTAAAATGCATTTTAGGAGTAAGATGGGTCATGATACTGTTTTCTAAGACGATGTTGGTTATGTTGTTTCAATGCCTGCTGATTTTTTATTTGTGAATCTTTCCTGCACTAATTTGTAATTCTGTTTAAGTCTTTCTTAAGCTCGCCTAGCATCCTTTATCCAACATAAACAAGTTTTTTCACTTGTTCACTTTCTCTCTCTCTCTCTATGGCTATCATAAGTAAATAAATAAATAAATAAATAAATAAATAAATAAATAAATAAATCTTTAAAAATAATTAATAAAAAATAAAAGTTAAGGTATTCTTGGTATGTCTGGCTGGTTCAGTTGGTGGAGCATGCAATTTTTGATCTTGGGGTTGTGAGTTTGAGCCCCCCGTTGGGTTTAGAGATACTTAAAAATAAAATCTTAAAAAATAAAGATATTGTCATGGTCTTTTTTTTTTATTTTTATTTTCATTTTTCTTTCTGCCTTTTATGGTGATTAGTGAGAACTTCCTCACTGATTTTTAGTTCCTTAGAATCTACTCAGTGTTTTGTATTTGTTTCAGGAAGAAAGTTGGTTAGTTCCCATAATAATTTTAGACCTGTGGGGTATGAAACTACAATGTGTATATGCCCAAGTTTCTTTATTTTTAAATCAAGATTAATGGATCATTTTATTAGGGCATATCTATTACCTGGGAGGGTTTTTATATATATAAGGTGATTTATCTCAAAGGGCTTTCTGAGACAAGGACAGAAGCCCCCCAAACAAGCTTTTTGACTCTGTAATGTACCCAGCACACTCCAGCTTGCCTTCAGGCCTAGGGAACATCCTCAGCCCCTCTTCCCTCAACACATTGCTTATACTTAGCTTCACCTCTACTCACCTCACTGGAAATAAATGTCCTCATCTAATGCTTTGGTGACACACCATGGACTCCACACCTGCCACCTGAAACTGATGTTTCCAACTTCACTTTTCTCTCCTTCTTCCCTCAGCTTTGTAAGAAATCTTGGTCTGTTCTCTTTTATAAGGCCTACTTACTTTCCCCCATGCCAAGAATCCCACGTGCTATGCTATTCTCCTACTTCTGTCTTGTAAGACTTTTCTGTTTCTTCAGGATCCAGCTCCCTTGCCTAGCAAGTGTCCCCAAGTAAACACTCAATGAATACCCCTATGTACAAGTACCCCATTAGGGAAAAGAGACCTTGCTTCTCCATTCCCCTCTCAATCTCTCTTTCTCTGCCTCTCCCTCTTTGATGCACACACTGTAACCTTCAGGCTGATTTCTGCCTGCTGTCTCCACGGGAACTACCCTTTGAGAAGCAAGTGATCTAAAAGCTCCTTGTTTTATCTGGTGCTCTGATACCTCTGCAATGCTCTATACCCCCTTTTTATGCATTTTTATGGTTTCTTGATTCCTTTCTTAGACATTCTTTTGAGGTTCTCAACTCACTTCATTAGGATGATGTTAATCTCTCAGATTCTCATTTTACTCTTCCAAATGTTCCTTATTGCTCTCCTTCCATGGTTCTTCTTCCTCATCTACCTCTTATATGCATATACTCTCCATTTCTTCACTTACTCAACAATCCAGGGAAGGGGTCAAGTCTCAAGACGGGCCTCAAGGATTCTGAGAAAGCACTTGTCGTTTGGCTTCAGTCTACCTCTCTGGACCTCTCACTCTGAGACCTGGCCCCACCCCCTTTGGATTGCTTGTTATTCCCTGAAGAGTTTATGTTCTTTCCCAGCCCTTTCCTTTGATCACAACATTGAACTTCCCCCTTCCTGCCTTTCAAAGTCCTTTGAGTAAAACCATCTTTAAGCCTTTACTGATCCCCAAGTCAGAATTAATCTCAAGTTGGAACATCCATTCTTTATGCATTCCAACACAGACTAGTTGGTCGTTCATGTCTGTTCTAAGCGCTACTGGTTTGCTCCCCAGTAGTGACTTCTTGATTTCATTTTATTTAGATGCTTCTATCAGTAAGTAACAGATGCCAAGCTCTGTATGCTAAAGCATTATAGAAGATGGGGGAGAAATTGCATTGAAAAAATATCCTTCAAGAAATATTCTCAAGGGATCCCTGGGTGGCGCAGCGGTTTGGCGCCTGCCTTTGGCCCAGGGCGCGATCCTGGAGACCCGGGATCAAATCCCGTGTCGGGCTCCCAGTGCATGGAGCCTGCTTCTCCCTATGCCTATGTCTCTGCCTCTCTCTCTCTCTCTCTCTCTCTCTCTCTCTCTCTCTCTCTGTGACCATCATAAATAAATTAAAAAAAAAGAAATATTCTCAAGTTGGATTTAATAATAAAAATGTGTATACAGGTACCCAGGCGTACAGAACAATGTTGTGAGCAGAAATGGCCAGTGTTAATCAAGGGAGTTTCAAGCATTTTTGTTGGGTAATGATTAAGTGTGGCTTGGAAATATGCATTGGGCCATGCAGTGGCTGGAAAATGTAAAATGGAACTCTACCAAGATGAGTGAAGGGAGAGTGATAAATCATTTCTCTACTCATATTTTTCACAGTATGTACAGTACAGGTTTTATAGCCACAGAAACTCTTTGAAAACCACTCAAAGACAATGGTGGTCTCATTTCAAAGTTTTGGACTTTCCCTGGATGGCTACTACTTTTGCACTTTCTCTGGAATGTTTGTTATGTGTTTATTTTTGTCAGTTTTCCACATCATCACTGCGTCCTTACAGAAAGGTAAAGGACAAGTTTTAAATAGTATTGCATTTCCTTTTCATAACAGATTCATGCCCAAGCACAAAACAATCCATTTACAGAAGATTCTCGGCCTTAAAGGAAGTGGTGGCACTGCTCCATCCGCGGCCCTTCCTTTCCAACACGAGCAGAAAGGTTCTGAGAATTTATTGAAGAATTTTAATTCAGAGTCTGGACCTTGCAATGCTGCACAACAAGAAAACCCGGGTAGCTCATTAACACAGGAGTCAGCCTTGAGAACGTGCAACTCATCAGATAATTCAAGCTCTCACCTGAAGGAAAATAAACAAAATACGACTTTTCATCCCTGTGACATTTTGGGTGGAACCGATGATCCGCAGAGACCACTGCACATCGTGTGGCCTCACAGGTGGTAAGTTTGGGATGTGCCAATTGAGTAAGAGTTGGAGACCGGTAACAGAGAATATAATTCTGATGGTGGAGTTAGTAAATTATTGTCCCTATAGCTGTAGGAAAAGACTGCTTTAGTGTGGTAGTACCACTAACATGGTACCAAGGTAGAAATATCTTTATATCCATATAGAAATAGTTGCATGTTTAGATTAAATTGGAATTACAGATAATCATTTGCAGTGATTTGCTCATCTAACAACAGCAGCTAGACACCTCTAGAAAATCAAATCCTGTTCAGGAAGTTTCAAACTATAAAAACAGGATTCCTTATCTATATGTCTATATATATACACACATGTATATGTGCTGTTATCATATGACTGTTTCATATAGACACCCTGTTAAAGCAATATTACCATTAAAACAAAACGATTTCCATTATTTCCTAATCTGTCCAGTTTCAACTGGGTGCCTTTATTTCACTTGTCATAAAATGTATCAGCACATTCGCAGCAGTGCCCCTGCTCCCAAATGCCTCTGTATCGTGCTAAAGCAAAACACTTTCCAGCGGAATCTCCTCTAAACAGGAAAATCAACTGCGGCGTGTAATCGTACCAAATACAAACTCATAAACTCAACCCTAGTTCCTATAAATTAGGATTTAAAGAGGTAAAATGTCCTGATAATCTTCTGGTATTAGGCATGAACATTTTAATCTAGTTTTTATTCCTCCCAGTTAGTTTAATCTGCATGTGGCCTGATTAGAGTTCACTTCCCCCCACAGATTATGGTCTCTTTATTGCAGAGATGCTGGGCTGATCATTAGGTCCGATTTTCTGAGAGCAACTGTTTACAGGTGAAGTAATAAGCACACCACACCGGCCAGGCAAAGCTCCTTTGCCGGGGATTTGACTTCCAGCACATTAAAACTCCAGAAGCTCTCCCAGTTGATCTGCAGCATCTGGTACCTAAAGGGATTTTCATCTTGGACTCTAAATGTATGAACGCAAAATTTGGGGATTGAAAGTTGTTGTGGAATGTGTCTTTGGGTTTGTCCGTTCAACTTCACACTTCCGGCATACCCTTTGTATGAGGGTAACTTTTCTTTTAAAACCGTATTTTACTTAGAAGGGGACGCTGTTCGACATTCTTGTGTGTTATTTTAAAATGAATCGGGTCTGGATGAGATTAACCTGTTTCAAGGTAAAATAGGTGTCATCATTCTCTCGGTCCTGGAAAGCTTTTCCTTTTATTCTGCTAACCTTTGGTTGCCTCCGAAGTAATACCTATTGCAAGAAAATCAGTTCTAGAAAGTTTGGTTCTGGGTTAGCATGGAAATGCAGAATTAAATTTGTAGGCTCCTACTACAAAGCAGCATACTGATATGGGGGGAAGAGTGAGAACCACATTATTATCCAATCCTTTGCACAAAATAAGACAGAGCTATGTTAATAAAATTAACAATATTAAATTGAATAATTCCCTCTCTTCCTTTGTATATTTTTGCTTTAATTTAATTTAATTGCCTAAAGTTAGTTGCTTAAAGAGATGCAGCATTATGTTTGTGCACATTCTTATTGTTAAAGCTAAATTATTTTTAATTTGGAGGAGAGGGAAAAAAAGCCGCATCAGCAAGAGTAAATGCCAAAATATAAAAGTAACACATTCATCCTTACGGGTAATATAGTAGAACATTGGAAACTTGGAGGTTGCCAGACACATAGCTAACATTAGGGCTAATTTTGAAAATCTAGCGTGCAGTCAATTTTACTGATGCCTGGGGACATACAAGGTAGAAGCTGACAAGAGAACTAATTTTGTTTGGGTTATTTACTGCTATGCATCATCCGCGGGTTCCCGCCTGACACACAGCTATATGAAGGGGGATATTATCACACACTCAAAATTTATGTTGACATTCGATATTTGTTCAATATGTCAGCAGTATTACTTTCATAATCAAAAGAGTAAGAAAAAGAGAAAAGAAAAGCACTTTATGCTCATATAGATATATCTTTTTAATAACAGTCTATAAGGTTAATATAGTTTACCTTTGAGAGTATACAATGAAAACAAGCAGGGTTAGGAGGGGAAATGACAGAAAGCATCAACCCGAGCTGTTTGTTTGCCATTACCTAAGCGAGCCATGTCAGCTCTCTGGCCCGCGTCTGATAGCTATTTGTTGTACAGAGAGCACAGCATAAAAAAAAATATCAAACTCTTAATACTATTGTGTGCCCATAACCATCTGTCACTGCTAGCCTGGAGATGAGAGGAAGATTACGAGGAATAAACACTGAGCCGCCGAGCATTGGTAAAGCCTTCGGGCAAAAAACTCTTGTGAGGACATCAAAGACATTCTAATTCCGAGGCAGTCAAGGATTACAGTGTGTAACCTGTGCTGACAACAGATAAATGACTGGCAATATTGTGCCAGAGCTGTTGGGTCCTGCATGGAGTACTGATGATGATGATGATGATGTTATCTTGCAGAATGGACTCTGCTGGGATAATTTTATGATAAAACACTTTTTTCAAATGCCACTGGGTCTAGGCAGACATTTACTAGCTACAGGGGTAGCAATCAGTTTCTTCAAAATTTACTGTTCTAAGCCCATTAGAGTTCCAACACAGCAAGGCTCTTCAATGAAAATCTAAAACGCCTATATTTTCTTTAGGAGAATATATGCAAATGTCGTGAGCTGAACTCCTACCCTTTAGTGGTAGATGCTTTATCATCTGATTTATGTAAATTTGCTCATAAAAATACAGTTTATTTTTAATTGGTGAATATGAATTAGAAAATTAAGATTCTGGCTCAGCATTCGTCAGACATGCCCGGTCACAAGCACACATTTATTTATACCTCTGATGGCCTGGGTAGAAATCCTAGAACGGACCGGTCGATACGAACTGTATCCTCAAGGAGACCATTGGTCAGTACTAGAAATGACCAGGGTTGGATTTGCCGGCTCAACCCTCTTAGTTTGGGGCCTCCCCCACCTCTATCTACACCTCCCTCCTTCTTGTCCTTATCGGGAGCTAATTAAACTACCTGCTCGAGGCGGGGTTTTCTTTAGAGTAGCCTGCGGGAAGCTCTGCGGCCTGGCCTGTCGCCTTTTTGCCTTGGCCACTTAACAGAGAGAAGGGACTTAAGGAGAGGGAACACAGGGATGATTGTTCCCCCTGTAAACAAAAGGGAGAAACGGCCACCAGAGAGGGCAACAGGATTCTCGGAGCCTGTCATTACCTTGCCCAACAAAACAAAAATAAAGGCCTCCTCCTTATCATAAAAAATATGCCCATGAAATCATGCCGTTGCAGTCGCCAACTCTAAAAATGAAGTGATGCTGACCTCATTGTGTTAGTTCCACGCCGGGATCATGAATGGTCTAAAATATAGTGTTAGCCTCTAACATATCTCGTACTAAGTCAACCAAATGTAGAGCCTCCTTGCTAGGATATGTATCAAAATCAAAAGTGACATTTTCTAGAAGATACATTCTGGCTTTAAATCTGTGTTAAAATGTCTGTGCATGAGAACAGGCCCTTCACTGCAATGCTTGCCCCCTCTCTTCATTCTTTCTGAATCTGAGCTTGTCAAGGATTATAGTGTGCAACCTCTGCTGACAGTAGATAAATAACTGACAGTATTTTAGCAGAGTTGCTGGGTTCTCTGCAGAGTAATTTGTTTTCTCCCTTCTACCCAATCTTTAGTGTTTTGTTATAAACATCTGTAGCAAGGCATGGTTAATAGCAACGACTTAGAGAGAAAGACCTGTAAAAAATACACTGCAATTGGCAACGCCTTTTCTTAAACCCATTTTCTTTGTAACTATTACAACGTTTAAATATTCTCTTGATTTTAATGGGCACCGAAGGCGTACTGCTGGAGGGACAGAGAAAATAAGTTTACAAGACGTTGAAAGATAGCACTCTTAAGGCTGCGGTTCTCAAACTCCTTGATCTAAAGACCCCTTCGCGCTCTTAAAAATGACTGGGACACTGTAGATCTCTCTCTCTCTCTCTCTCTCTCTCTCTCTCTCCTTTTAGAGTTACACCTATCAATATTTAGCGTATTAAAAATTAAAGCTAAGGGAAAACTTTTAAAAATCTACATTAAATCATTGAAAAGTAATAGTGAAGAACCACATACGTGTTAATATTAATGTGTTCTTATGAAAATAACTACTTTAGAAAGCAAAATAATTAGCGAGAAGAGTGACATTATTTTATATTTTTGTAAATCTATAATCTCTGAGTAGAAGAGAGTTCGATTTTTATATCTGCTTAAGTATTCAATCTGTTGCAATATGTTGTTTTGGTGGAGGTTTCGGAAGAAAATTCTGCCTCACAGAGAGAATTGGAAAAGGAAAGAGTGTTTTAATGACCTGCTCAGATTATTGCAGGTATCCTTTGCTGCTACTCGGCAAGTAGGAGTTTCTCAGAGATCTCCGAGATTAGACCACTCAGTGGCTCTTCATACTCTCTTACTTGGTGTCTAAATGGATTTTGTAACATCGCGCATTGGTCACTTGGAAAATACGTGATTGATGAATTGTGCAGATCTTCCAAGTATTGACAAAATTCATTATTTCAGAGAATCAGGTTGTTAATATCACCACTGAGATCAGCGGACTTTTTGATTATTGGGAAGTTGTCAAGCTCACGGTGTAGATACACTTTTTCCAGAATTCCAATTTTCAATTAAAATCTTGAATTTATCATTGCAACAAATATTATCGGTCGTTTTCTTGAGGAGACGTGTTCACGTGGCTCGTATTTGAGAAAATGTCTGCCAAATACACAAGGCTAATTAACCATGGTTGGCCTATAAGTTCTTAGAAGCAAAATTAGTGTTTTGTGAAAAAAGCAACTAGTCCGCTCATAACTCAAACAATCATACAAATACTGTTTCTTAAGACAACCAGTGTGTCCTGGGACACAAAGATGCAGTGTGTGTATTTCCAGTTTATAACATCGAATATTAAAAGAAGTCTCTTGAAGGGAGGAAATTTA